AAACAAAAACAAATACCCCAAATTAACAAAATTTTTTTAAAAAAGTTCTTTTATATAATAATTTATATAAAGAAACATTATTATTTAAAATTTACCTCAGACTCATCATTCACATTATCATTCTCCTCCAACTCCTCAAATAGATTGAAGAAATTCCCATTATTGTCAGGACCTGAATTTCAAACATAATAAAGGTTTAGAATACAAATTCAAAAATAAGAAAATAAGAGAAATATAGCCTTAATTTAATACCTTTCAGATCTTTCTTCAACCAATCTTGAAGACACATCAGTGCCTGTATCGTATTTGGTCTAACCTTACTCCGATGTGGACTAATAACTTTTCCACTAGTACTAAAAGCTGATTCCGAAGGTACAGTGGATATGGGAATGGCAAACACATTTTTAATAAGCATTTGCAATATAGGAAACCAAGCCCCATGAACTTAAATTAGAAATTACTAGATAGAACACTAAAATTACTAGTTAAAAACGCTAAAGCACTAAAGCCCAAAAATTAAATTAAAAATTACTAGTTAAAAACACAAAAATTAGTAGTTAGAAACACTAAAGCACTAAAGTACAAAAATTAAATTAAAAATTACTAGTTAAAAACACTAAAACACTAAAGCACAAAAACTGTAGCTTCAAAAACTACATCTAATTGATACTTGGAGTTGGAGAGTTTGAAAAGAATTCGAGGCAGAGCTGTAAAGGTGGAGGCCACGTGACAGCAAAAAGAGGATGACCCAACCTTGGAGTTGGAGGTGAGTGGTGGTGAGTGGTAAGCGTTGCAGACTTGTAGTGGTTGTAGTGATGGCACGGTGAGAGGCTGAGAGCTTGAAGGGAATCACCGAATCACAGTTGAGATGGCCACACGATAGCAAAAAAAGGACGACCCAGCCTTGGAGTTGGAGGTGAGTAGTGAGCGTTGCAAGGGTCGTAGTGACAGCACTGTGAGAGGTTGAAAGCTTGAAGGGAATCACCGAATCACAATTGAGATGGCCACGCGACAACAGAAAGAGGACGACCCAGCCTTGGAGCTGGAGGTAAGCAGTAAGTGATGGTGAGCGGTGGTGAGCGGTGATTGTTGCAGTGGTTGTAGTGACGGCACGGTGAGAGGTTGAGAGCTTGAAGGGAATCATTGATTCACTAATTCACAGTTGAGATGAGGACAGAGAAGATTGAGCAAGAGTTATAGCATAGAGCGTTCGCGGCAGAGGAGAGGAGACTGACTGGATAGAGGAATCGCAATTTGCAAGTGGCAAGCAAAGAGACTAAAATCTTTGGATAATTGGATTGTCCTTTTACTTTTAGGGTTATGTAAATTGGGTTGTGAATTTGGCTAGGTAATTAGGTTTAGGAATATTAGATTGAAAAAAAAAATGGGTTGGGCTAACAATTGGGTTTGGAAAAATTGAAAAAAGAATGGGTTGTGAATTTTAAGTTATATTGGTATTGAGTTAGCTAATTAGATTCGGTAAATAAAAATTAATTGCTAATATATGTACAAAAAATATATATATATAAAAATAAATTTATATATTTTTTATTTTATATGGATCTTCACGGTTTTTCACGAGGTGGAGGAAATTCCGCGCAAAATTCACGAGGAAAAAATTGCTTTCATCCCCGCTCCATGAGGATAAATATTCTTGGAATCTCCATCTTCGTGGCGGGGATATTTGTGAAGCTCCGCGGATCACAGAGAAAATTGCCATCCCTATCCGAAATGGGTAAGATGGAGATTCCCTACTTCCACCAGTTATATTTTAAAATTAATTTAATTAATTTAAAACAAAATATTTTAATTAAATGAGTTGAAGTTCAAAAAAAGTATTGAAGGTGGTTTGATTTAAAATAATTTAACTCTAATATTGAATTAAAATTAAAAATAAATAATGAATACGTCTATAACCATGAGTTAAATATTTAAATTGAGTTAAATTTAATTTTTTTTTCTTTATTTTTTAATTTTTTCATGGGAAATAGGGATACTCAAAGAAGGAAAAAAATTTCTTATAAAATTTTATAGGGTGAAAATGCTTTCCATCTCCACCTGCGGAAAGAAAAATTTCTCCCCACCTATCCCTGTGGTGGGAGAAATATTTTAGATATTTATTAGATATTTCTTAATATCTATTAGTTATTTATTTGAGCATTTTAGAAAAAAATTTGTTATTATAACAAATATATATTTATTTGTTTAAGATTAAGATTA